AGTATAATAAAATCAACATTGACATGACCGCTGCGTTTAATACTATCCGCAGACAGACCATCATCAACCTCCTCATTGACGCAGGATGCTCTAGAGACGACATTCGCCTAGTTCAGTACCTCCTCTCAAATTTTGAAGCTCAAGGTGACGGTCAACAGATCTGAGTCTGGTGAATTTGTGATTAATATTGGCGCTTACCAGGGAGACAGTCTGGCAGGTAAAGTGTTTACATTGACCCTTGCCGGTGCCCTGAATCACATCAGAGCCGTGATCAGTGTCACGATTCCTAGACCGAATCCCCCAGTCTCTGATAGAGGCCTCCCGTTAGAGTCCGCCTATGCTGACGATGCTGAGCTTCTGAGTGAAGATGGTCAGAGCCTGGTGAAGATACTTGAGATTGCTAGTGATATACTAAAGGATTGGAGTCTCTTTGTTAACGAATCAAAGACGGTGTTTACAAGAGTGTATTTGGCAGATACACATGCTTTAGATGCCCATGGCAATAAAATTAGAGGAGATGAAGAGTGGCGAGAGTCAGTGCTATTAGGACCAAAGCTCTGTTCAGAAAGAGATATTGTCAACAGTCGCAACAAAGCCAATGTTGCCTTCTACACCTACAAGAAAGTCTGGTTGAATAGTTCTGTTCAGATCAGTGAGAGTAGAAAGCTGAAGCTGTACGAAGCTCTCGTCACGTCAGTGTTGTTGTATAACTGTAGCAGCTGGGCTGCTCCTGAAACCGTAATGGCATCTGTCGACGTTCTTCAAAGGAAGCATCTGAGACAGATAATCAACACCTATTGGCCTACGGTTATCAGTAACGAGAATTTATATAAGAGATGTAATGTCAGACCCCTTACTGAAAGGATCAAGAAAGCAAGATGGAAGATGCTTGGGCATGTTCTCAGAAGCGGCGATGACACTCCTGCCTTCTTATCTTTCAGATTTGCATGTTTAGGATGTTTTGACTACAAAGGAAGGAGGGGCAGACCTCGTTCAAATTTATTTGATTTATTATTAAAAGACATTATGACAAAGAAAATTATTGTGATTGTAAATAAAAGATTTAGTTTAAGTAATTTCAACGATTTAGTGTACAAAGCTCATGATAGACGTTTATGGAGAAGCTATGGGTGAGTCGAGACTACTCAGCCACTCGATTTTATGATTTATTTTCTATTATCTTGTGTTTGCTGTATATAGTTGATTAATAATAACTACTACTACTATACATGATGTAGCATATTTGAATTGAACTATTACATGATGTAGCATATTTTAATTGTTCCGCTATAATTTATTCTTATTATAGAACTATGTCAACAAACGAGCAACTTGCCGGAGCCATGGGTGGTTGTCGAACCATCACAGGAGATAGATTTGTGTGTTGGCTGGTGACAACCACCAATGGCCTTAAACCGGCCCCTTTCAAAGATAACGCAAATGTGAGAGGCAGAGAGAGGGGTATATGGCGGTAAGTGAAGTAATTATGCTCACTGCATTTGGTCGATATATTATATATATACATATATTGATGAGATCTAGGGGTCGTTCATATAATACAATAATACCTTCGCTTCTGAGTGCTGAGCACGATAATTCCCGACAGCTTGCTGGGCACGAAATAGCGAAGGTGTTATTTGTTGTAATACGTTCCGGTTCCGATTGGAAGGGGTGTAATCCGATACGTGCGCATGATACAATATAGTGTGTAATATATAGAACGCCAGTGTTATTTGTTTTAATACTTGCCGCCAGCCAGTCTAAGTCTATGCTGATAATACCTTCGCTTCCCTTGCGGGATATATCTGCAAATTATCAGCTCTCAGTTTCCACGAGTTTTAGTGGATATATAATTCCCGGAAGGTATTATAACTATATAATACTTGATACTTTTATAGTAAAGTAAAGTAAAGTAAAGTAAAGTAAAGTAAAGTAAAGTAAAGTAAAGTAAAGTAAAGTAAAGTAAAGTAAAGTAAAGTAAAGTAAAGTAAAGTAAAGTAAAGTAAAGTAAAGTAAAGTAAAGTAAAGTAAAGTAAAGTAAAGTAAAGTAAAGTAAAGTAAAGTAAAGTAAAGTAAAGTAAAGTAAAGTAAAGTAGTACAAATTTATATATTTCACAGGTGGTTGATGAGGCAGATGACCCGTTATGGGCTTGAGCAGAGTAGGGAAAAATCCTTACGGATCTCTACCATTGGTAGAATTCTGCCCCGGTACCTCAGGCTCGACAACGGCCGAGGCTTCTCCTGGCAGGAGCTGGAGGAAGTGGACCTGAGGTACCGGGTCAGATTGTCTAACAGGCGATACGACCCCACCAAAAGGGAGCGGGCCTCTTGGGAAGTCCGAATGGGCAAGATAGCTGCACAGATAGTGCAGCTCCAAACATAGTACCGGTTGTTAGAGTAAGTTTAAATTTAAAGTCAATATTGAAATAACGTTACACATATTTGTACAACCAATCTAGTAGTAATTCACACAACATGACAAAAATTGAAAGACCATAAAGTGTTATCTTATTCCTCAGAGAAGTTGGTTACACGAGTGGACTATGCTCTAGTTGTGGCTACCGCCAATGGAACAGAAAAGGCGTGTGATTACGGAGTTCTGGAGACAGAAGAGAATGATTAAGGAAGGGTCAGACTGTCACACCAGCTAACATCACATCTGGTCCATTCAGAGAGAAATTTGATAGAGCTTGTTATAATATTGGTACGATCTATTTCTCATTACTTTAAGAGATTTGAGTGTACTTCTTAGATTATTTATTTAACACATAACTTTGTGAAGAGAAGGGATGAGTTACAAGAGAGATTTTAAAACGTTGTTCTTTGCCAGGCGTTTCTAAAGGAAGATGTTGTTGCTGATATCAGGAAGCAGCATTCTGTAATCAACAGAATATCTGAGTCATACAAACCTATCTCAACATATATTATGTCGGAAATACTTCAAGGTGCGTAAATGATTTAAATCTCAACAAAAGTAGGGATTTTGTGTTTAGTAATGTTGAAATGTTGAGTAGATGTCCATCCATTATGCTATTTGCAGCAAAATGTCGATGATTTGATGAATACAAACAAAGTAAGTAATTATCTTTAGGGTGAATGAAGAGGAGTTAGGGATGATCGAAAGGGGGATTAAGAAATTCCTCGTTGAATGGAGATTGCCTGGTTACTCTATCACCCGAAAACTTCACGTTTGGAAGACCATGCAGTCGACCAAATGAGGCTGCTTGGGTTCGCACTGGGCAAATTCAACAAGCAGGGAGGGGAATCCCTCCACGCTATGATTAACCGTATCCGACCCCGATACGGTATGAATGATTGGAGTTTTTCACTTCATTAAACCATCGTAGAAGACACATGATTTTATAATACTAACGTCTGTACATGGCAACTGTTACGGACTACGGTGCTCCTTTGAAACTTTTACTGATCATATTTTTTAGCTAGTCTAGATTCTTTAACAAGAACTAAATGGAACTGAACCATATTCCTATCTAGAAGAAGTTCTGATATCGACAAAAAGCAGCACCCAAAAAGCATTCATTAGGAGAGTAGAATTTCTTTGGGAACAAAATGAATCTCTCCAGGACTTAGCCAACTGGAAAGACTATAAAACGAAGACTCTGCAAACATCTCAGAAAAATGATAACACCTTAAAGAATAAAGAGGGAGGATCCTGGACCCCGAAATCCACCACCTTTCTGTACTTTCAGAAGTACCAATGACATTAGTCGAAATACACTCTCACTGCCGTTTTAAAATTGTTAGCTCTCGTTATCGCACTGCTTATCTCTTGATAATTGCACCGCTACTGCGCTGCTAGCTTGTTGTGCTGATCTTTACGATGGCAGATTTGGACTTGGAAAGTATCAATTACATGTGGAATGAGATGTTCACCTGGAGCAAAGAGACTCTGAAGAAATTTGGCAAGCCGTACGGAAAGTTAAAGGACATTGCGGACGCTAAGAACTTCAACAGACTGAATAAGCCGGAGATTGTCGATGTGTGTGGTCGATCTTTTGAGTATACGAACTATCTTATGGAGACCGTTGAAACGTATAAGAATGTGTTGACCAGACTTCAGGGTCAGTTGATTGAGAAGCAAGAGCAGGTTATCAGTGTTCAGGCCGAGCTATCAGCTTGCAAGACTGAGTAACTTGAAGCGATGAAGAAAACTGTGTCAAGTTCAGTTGCTGATTCAGTGAAAGCGGACTTCCAATCTTACAGCTCTCTGTCGTTCAAAGTTGGCCAGCACAGTCTCCAGTAATCAGCCCGGAAGCATTGACGTCTGTAGTCAAGACTATTGTTGCAGAGGAGGACCGCAGCAGGAACCTTCTTATCTTCGGTCTGCCTGAGGAAAAAGAAGAGAAGCTCGAATCTCAAGTCAGTGAAGTTCTGGAAACTATTGGCATAAAGCCAAAAGTAGAGGCTCAGAGAATAGGAAAAAAGAAAACGGTTGACTCAACGCGACCAGTTAAAGTTATCACCTCAAACTCGCTCATCGTTGATCAGATTCTGAGGAATGCCAGGAACCTGCGGCAGAGTGAGAAGTTTAAGACAGTTTTCTTGAGCCCTGATCGGTCTGTCGAACAGAGGAAGCTCCGGAAAGATCTGGTACAGGACATGAAGAAGCGGGCACTTGCAGAACCGACCAAAAAGTTTTACATAAAGGACGGGCAAATTTATTGTGCCGATGAGAGCAACGGTTGACAACTTTTTTTGAGTGTGTGTTTCGTGTGCTGTTTTGATATGTTTTGGACCATGTTTGTGAGGGACATATTGGTAGCTGTAGTTATTTTCTATACAAGACTGAATAGTCTTCAGGCTTTAGCTGAGCTTTAATTTCCGACGCAGTTTTGTTGAGCCACTAGTCCATGATGGGGAATATAAACAATATATTTAACTCTTAATGGTCACAGCTACTTTTAATTTCATGAATCATACAGATTTTAAAGTACGCTGGTACGATTTTTATCTTATTGAATTGCTGTTCAATATCTATTTTAGTAAACATTAACTGGGGTAGTAAAACCCAGTTCCCAATCAAATGTGGCAGGAAACCAGGGCTCATGCTCCCGCTGAGCTAAAGCAGTAGAGGAGATGGCGGCTTCTCTGGGATCTAACACATCCTGAAACAGACCAAAACTATGTCCCAACGCACTGGTGTTGGGATGTTTGCCCCCGGGGTCTGCCCGGGTCAATAAAGCAGTCAAGCATCATGTATGTTATGTTGAGCATTCTCAACCAGCAGATGTGGGAACTCCCACAAAAGACCGAAACAGATCTAAAGAAACAGTTATCAAAATCGGAAAAATAGACCTGAATTTGTTTGTATATAATTTATAAAGCGTATGTTATTGCCCACGTTAAGGGGCCTGTTAATAATTAATTAAATTATTAGCTATCTAAGATTTGATAATAATAAATTCTTTAACGGTGTAAAGACTTGCTGTGAAAGAAGCAGCCACACAATGCATCCTGGAAATGAAGATGTTACAAGACCCCTTATACATGTTATAGACATTCATATAAACATTATAATAAAAGTACAAAAACAGCGAGTAAATGGATGCACTTCTTTTTCAAAAAATATGGAGTTGAAACTTTTGGCCACATTAAAAACATTAGACAGATCATCATGAATTAACACACGATCTTGGAAGAGACCTGCAATCACAAACCTTTGTTGCATATATTAAACTAGTTATTCATGATAGTGATGAGCACGAACATCAAGACATGTGCTGTCCTCTCCCGGTCACGAGTAATATCTAATGCTTTGAAGTAATATATAGTTTTTATCAAAGGACTCAGTAGTGTTAGTTTACTCGAAGTTTCCAATATTTTCACTTTAATTGTCATCATGTCCTGCTTAATTCATATCTGTATTATATACAATACTTATTCATCAAACTTCTCTCGAAATTGATTTTATAGTTGTTTCTGATAGAGGGGAGTGATATCTATCAGCTGCTTTTGATCCCATGGAAAAATATTGTTCCTAGCCGGAATTATTGCTGGTCAAGGGTCAGCGCTTATGTGTAATTGTATTGCTCGAGCGATTTTGAAACGTGCGTCCTGAAAATCGAGTCTAAAAATCTATCTTCTCCTAAATATTTTGAGTAATCACCCTCAAACTTTCAGGATATGTTCTAGGGACCATTTAAAAGAGATCGCTCATACAAATTTGTGAGACAGGCCTTTTTTATTCAATTTTGAAAATCTAGGACCTCGTTTTTTAGGCGGTTCAACCTAAGTGATCTGGGGGAACTTGTGACACAGACTGTCCAGTTTAATAGGGAGATCCCCATAACAGGTTTAAGAACACCACATGCACCACCTGCACCACCAGCTGCATGACTTTCGGTTATACACATTACACATGTATACACATTACACATGGTTAAGGTAGTGTGTACCATACTTTCTTCGCCCGAGACATTGCTGCAATGGGCAGCTCCTTATTTAACCATCATACCCGATTTCTCGAGTATTTGGCTAAGTGGGAATCGAACCTGGTACCTCAAGCAATGCCAGGCAGATTAACCAACTGAGCCACTAAGCCGTTATGTTGGAGTATTATATTATTGTAAAATTATAATATTGAATACTGTCTCAATTATGCTTATTACCAGCTCAACTAGGCCCAGTCATCCTGCCCATATAATTGATAAACCTTCTATGAGGGCAATTCTATAGATTTATACATCTTAAATTTTCAGGAATCTCAGTGAAAGACAATAACCTTAAATATTATACTAAGCTGTTGAATAATCCAACCTGAGACCTGAGAGTACCTAAAGACTGCAAAATTATTTTTTTGTCTAGACAAATTTGCCACACATTAAAAATACGTATTGTTTATGCAGGTGCGGAATCGCATTAGTCTGTACTGGTAAATGCTTAAATGAAATAGTCACAGGTAGTTCTACTACTAATGAACGAATGTGACCCTCCCATGTGGCCCCACGTGACTGCGTTATTGTGTGCGCACCAAACGATCAAGTACAGTTTGAGTTCAATTTTTTCATATGCATGATTTAAGGTTCGTCTAAAATTAAATGAAGTTTTGATATTTCAATGTGCAGGGTATTACTTTAGCTTTGGCGCAAATGTATTTTTTCATGGACCTATTTCATATACCAGAACTGTAGATAGAGTAGAATTTAATGTTTTCTATCGACTTACTAGGATCTTATATACAGGGTGGCCCAAAAGTGACTACCCACACGCAACCTTTTAATAACTCACGTAATTCGTCTTCAAATTACACAAAAATTTTAGAGATTATAGATATAGGTCAAACTTAGATTTCCTGAAAGTTTCGTAAGCCACGCCCAATTACAGTGGGCGTGGCGTGACACTCCCTCTTTTTCACTATTGTCTTCATAAAATGAGAACGCTTTAAGCTAAGAACTCCAAATTTTTTGCACACCTTTGGCTTGATAATTTAAAACCTTTCCCAACGTTTCAAGTTCATTGTTCAAAATTTGGCTGAGTTATGACCATTTCAAAATTCACCGGATACGTGATCCGAGCACTCAGTCAGTGATCTCTGCACTTGGTTAATGGCCTGTTTGGCTCACATGCACCGCTTGATTGGTCGCAGGGCTTGTTAGCCCTGCTAGTCACAGGTTTGTTCCTTACAATCGATAAAAAGGAATAAACTATCCAATGAATCATCGAAAATGGTTCACTATCCTCCCTATACTGCGGAACAACGATTGTTTGTCTACCTGAAGAGAGAGAATGGGGAGTTCTGCCCTCAGCTTAAACGACAATTTCAAATGAAATTCAACCGACCATCCCCTTGCCGGAAAAGCTGCTTTGATATGCATCACAAGATCAAGTTCACTTTTTCTGCAAACGATCAGCGAAGAGTCGGCAGAAGACGAACTGCGAGGACCGAAGAAAACATCACCATGGTTATTGGTGACGTGATGGATACACCTAAAATTGGCACCCGAAAACGAGCTCCTGCCTTAGACCTCAGCAGAACATCCCTTCAACGAATCCTAAAGCGAGATCTTTCTAACCGGGCCTATCGGACACAAAGAAACACCAACTTTTAGACCGTGATTCCTGATTTTCCTGAAAAGGTCACGATCTGGTGCGCCATCAGTTCTCGTGGAATCCTAGGACCTGACTTTTACGAAGAATTTGGTGTTTTCCTGTCTAGCAAAGTCATTATCGGTATCCAATCAATCATGATCAGGTCGTCATCTCCTCAGTATGTTTGGTAAAGCCTAATGAACCTCATTAATACACGCTAACGCCTTACTCTTGAACAGATTGGGTGACGAGATCACTGATTGAGTGCAGAGATCACTGACTGAGTGCTCGGATCACGTATCCGATGAATTTTGAAATGGTCATAACTCAGCCAAATTTTGAACAATGAACTTGAAACTTTGGAAAAGGTTTTAAATCATCAAGCCAAATGTGTGCAAAAAATTTGGAGTTCTTAGCTTAAAGCGTTCTTATTTTATGAAGACAATAGTGAAAAAGAGGGAGTGTCACGCCACGCCCACTGTAATTGGGTGTGGCTTACGAAACTTTCAGGAAATCTAAGTTTGACCCATATCTATAATCTCTGAAATTTTGGTGCAATTTGGAGACGAATTACGTGAGTTATTAAGAGGTTGTGTGTGGGTAGTCACTTTTGGGCCACCCTGTATGTTTTACTTTTAGCCTTTTCTTAAAAACTTGATTTCACAAATTTCGCTCTTTAAAAGCATAATCATGCCGATAGACTCATTTGACTTGAGCCAGCATCTTTTACTTCAAATAGTACCTTTTTTAGCTGACAAGAAAATATAGAAATATTCATATTTTAGCATGTTTATTGTTTAAACCAAAGCAAGATTCTGATTGAATCGAGCCAAGTTGTAATCTTGTAATTCAATGATATCTTAGATCGCCAAGATATCAAGCATAACGAGTTTATTCATTACGTGGGATCAGGTGATTGAAAAAAAAGAAGTTTATTTCCTTCCTATTTGCAGCTGGTATGAAAATTGCACAAATTTACTGTTGTGTTTTCTATCATGAGAATACACTGTTCACGTACGCTTTTTATGTTTAATTTCTCCAGGGTGAACATCAATATCCTTTATTTACATGCCAGAGGTCGGTTATTTAGCTAATATTTAAATTATTGTGTTGAAATTATTGAAGCAAAATAATTAATAGAATAGAAATAAATACTGAATACTGATAGCAGCGATTCTTATCGCCTTTCTGACATTTGGTAATGAACTTTAACATTTGAACTTGAATTTGGATTATTTTACTGGAAATTGTCAAAATTCAGGAATAATTTAACAGTCTTTGACTGACTTATCGTAACTAAATAATTGTTTTCAAGTCCCGAAGGGAATTTTAAAAAAATAGTTTACTGATGTTGCCGCACCTCTATTTGCAGAGTAACTGCATTGTATTCAAATGAGGCAACTCGATGTTTAATCTGTGTGAACGGAACGCATCATGAAGCGATGTCTTAATTAACACAGAGTGTAAAGAAAATCGTTTTGAAGCACCTGAGTTAGACTGTCTAACTGAAAGCCACCAACATTTCTACGTATCACATGGAGTTTTATCAATTTAATTCGGTACCTTAGTTGTGTTCAAATTTCTCTACCATTGTGAAATGTTGGCACGATCGTGAATTGCTTTCTCTTTGTTGTCCCATGAATATTGAGCAATGGGCGGACGATTTCCTTTATCCGATTCAAAGAGTGTGCCTCCAGTCACCGCCCAACCAAGTGAGGTGTTGTTTAACTGCTCTATCAGAGGTCATTTATCGTTTTAACTACTTTGTGTTCGCCATTCGGATTAAGTAATGAGCAATTTAACGTTTGTTGTTGCTGTCGTGATTTTCACGGCAGTGCTGCTAGTGCAGACATCTTCAAGCGAGTGCAATCTAAAAAATAAAGCTCTCAAAAGGAAGATAAAGAAGTACCAAAGGAAATGCCTACTGAACGGATTCCAATCATCTATCGGCTGTGAAGTAGGAGAAGGACAATTAAGAAAGAAAGCTGCGAAGAAATGTGGCGTGATTGAAGAAACCTTGAAAAAGTGTGACTACTCCTGCCCAGTTGATGGAAGTTGGAGTGACTACAGTGAATGGACATCTTGCACGGTGCCATGCGGGGGAGGAAGTCAGTCTAGGGACAGATCATGCAGCAACCCTACCCCAGCGTTTGGTGGAGCTGACTGTGAAGGAAATGCTGAGGAAACACAGAAATGTAACCTTCAAGATTGCCCAGGTTAGATATTACGAATTTGTTCGATGCTATTAAATATTATTGACAAATTATCATCAAATCTGCAACGAATAGATCATAACAAATATTCTCGAATAAAAAACCAAAACGTGCTTAACTTTGGCCATTGTTGTTTGTTTATAGAACCCGTCCCCAATCTCGTATTGAAAAAGACTAAACTCAATTCTGAGTGTGAATACTATACTATATATAACTTTATTCAAATCAAAAATAGAACATAAAGAACATCTTGATGACCTGATAAGTCACCAAGAGAAAAATAACACTGAATAAACTAAATCATGCTTAACTCTCTCCATGCTTTTCTATCTGTTGCAAAAAGTCTTAAATGGTATAAATCGTCTGTATTTACAAGTCTAAAGTTTCTGTCATTTAAATCGTTCAAAATAGTTTTTAACAAGTTTGACTGGTGTCGTCCGACTCTACCTCTCATCAAACTCTGACTCTCTACAGCAAAATGTAAGGCAAGCTGGGCAGGTGAGTTATTATCACTGCGGAGGATGTGACCGAGCATTCTCCACCGTGCACGAGCAACACGCTCACTTAGTGGAACAACTTCGCAGCGTTTGTATAGAGTCACATTTCGTATGACATTAGGGTAGGTCATGCCGATGATCGTACGGAGATGATTCCTGTGGCAGACATCAAGTTTTTGAAGGAGTTGTTTAGATGTTGCCCAACTGTTGCAATTATACATCAGTATTGAAACAACTTGTGCTTCATATATCTTGAGTCGAATCTTCAAGGGTATACGTCTACCTTGTTCCCAGACTTTTTTGTAGTTCTGAAAAGCAATGTTAGCAAGTATACATCGTCTCTTGACATCTTCGATGCTACACAACTTAGAGCCTAAAGAGATAGATGACCTCCAAGGTTCTCTACCTCTGAGTGTCTCTCCTTTGTTATCAACCTCGTTCTTGCTGGCCAGATAGAAGTGGGTGAACTCGGTTTTTGACTCATTGACAAAAAGATTCCACTCTTCCAATATCTCTTTACATATTGGCAACAAAGACTCCAAATTGCTTTTATCCTCATCAGTAAAATCAACATCATCTGCGTACTCCCACTCGAGGGGTAACAGATTCTCAGCTATGGGAGGGTTAGGTCTTAGATAGGACATAACAGCACGCAGGTGGTAAAGTGCTGCTGCCAGATATAGAGTGAACAAGTTTCCAGACAAACTGTCGCCTTGAAAAGCTCCAATCGTGACAATAAACTCTCCCGATATTGTTGAGTTCACTTTGATCTTCAGTTTAGTATTTGCGAGCAAATACCTTACCAGTCGAATGTCGTCCTCACTACAACCAGCATCAGCTAAAATGTCAAGTAATACCGACCTCTTTATGGTATCGAAAGCAGAGGACATGTCAATGCCCATCTTATGAAGAGACCAGCGTTTTTCCTTGACAACTGACACTAGTATTCGCTGGGTCCAAACGATATTTGCACAACTATGGCCAGGTTTATAGGCATTCTGCCAAGGACCAGTGTACTGAGATACTTGCCTTTGGATGCGCTTTAAGACTATCATGGACAATATCTTTCTAGTACCGTTTAGTAGGCAAAGTGGGCGCAAACTCTTAGGGGGGCCTAGTGGCTTTCCAGGTTTTTGGAGCGGAGTAAGGTATCCCTCTGTGAAAGAAGGTACATGTTCATGGAGCTCAAAGGATCGATTAGTAAGTTGTGCAAATGTGGAAAAAAAGATTTCAGGAGAGTGTTTGAGAAATTCGTTTGGGATCCCATCTGGTCCAACAGCTTTACCGTTCTTGAGTTTCTTGGCCGCAAGCTCAACTTCAAACGCTGTAATGGGGTTTTGAAGGGGCCTAGGGTTACCTGTGATGATAGCTAAGTAATTGATTCCTGGGTTGCAGAGTCTTCCTGATTCCTCAGTGTTCATCAAACATTTTTCGAAATTGATTTTATAGTTGTTTCTAACAGCTCACAGCTGCTTTTGGTCCCATGGGAAAATATTGTTCTTAGCCGAAATTATCTCCAGTCAAAGATTAGCACTTATGTGTTATGTAATTGTATCGCGTGAGCGATTTTCAATCGTGCGCCCTGAAAATCGAGTCTATCTTCTCCTGCATTTTTTGAACAATCACCCTGAAACTTTCAGGATATGTTCTAGGGATCCTTTAGAAGAGACCAATCAAGCCGAATTCTGAGATAGACCTTAGAAATTTTTTATATGATTTTGAAAATCTTGGACCTCATTTTTTGACGATTTTTCCCCATTAAACAAGCGAAGAGAATAATAATAATAATAAAATTTGGTAGCTTAAACACAAACTCTAAGCCCAGTGGATAAACCACAAAACTTATGCTCTATTGTGTGAAACAAAGATACTAGATCAAGATAACTATCAAGGAGTGTATGCATAGGACATAAAAAGTTTTGGAACGAAGATGACATGCTTATGAAGCGAGCTAACAGTCTAATTGCTAATAAGTTCAAAAATATCGTGACATTAGGTTGCATCCTAAACAGTTTAAGCAAATAACATAAAGTTATATTGTCAATTAATCGCTCATGCCATAACTTTTCTTAAACAGGTGAGTTTTTAATAATGTTTTGAACAGATCAACATCAGAACAAGTCTTAATTTCAATTGGTAGTTGGTTCCAGATTTTCGGAGCAACAGTCTGAAACGCTCTTGGGTGCGATCTTGTAGATCCGACAGGTAGGTGTAAGGAGGAAGTTCTTCTGCTACTCGAACTAACAAATGTTACTAGATCACACAGATATGCAGGAGCAACACCATTGACTGCTTTGAAAATCAGTAAACATAACTTAAACTCAATCCTTTCCTTCACTTTGAGCCAATGAAGGGATTTGAGCTTCTCCTCGACTGAGTCTCTCTTCTTTAATCCAAAAACCAGACGGCATGCTCGGTTCTGAATGTTCTGCAGCTGCGTAATTGAGGCTTGACTACAACCATAGTAAAGCGCATTGCAGTAGTCAAGCGATGAGATTACAATTGCTTGAGTCAGTGTTCCCATCTGTTTGGTTGTGAGGAACGTTTTCATCTTAGCAAGGTCTCTTAGTTTCAGAAAACACGATGTTTTAAGTTGCTTGATTTGCTCACCAAAGTTTAGTTGACAGTCGAGACGAAATCTGAGGTTCCTTGCAACAGGTGACAGCCTGACACACGTCTCAGAGTTAACAAACACGCCCCCTATAGACAGCTGCTGGAGAACAAGCGGTGTCCCAAAAACAAGAATCTCAGTTTTTCCTGCATTGAGCTGTAGATAATGTTTTTTCATCCAGTCATTAATTTCTTGGAAAGATTTGGGAACATCGTTGAAAAGGACGGTGGGCTCCTCGTTTGGCTTGAAACTTTTATACAGCTGATGATCGTCGGCGTAACCCTGGATGGAGAAGTTCAAATCATGTGCTGCTGAGTACAAAGAGCGAATGTAGATGTTAGAGAACATAATTGGCGGGCAATTTGGCCGGTAACCAGTTTTAGTAGAAAAAAATTATAGGCTCTGGTGCTCTGCTACGGTGAACATGAACATGTGAACTAGGGATGAAACAAGGATTTTCCGCGGTATTAAACTAAAGTGAACTGGTGAACTTAGAAGCTGAGATATACGGCGAATGGATTAAATGAAAACTTATACAACCTATGAAAGATGGAAATGGATCAAAATAATGTATGAAATGAAAGGACGTGTGAGAATGAGTGCCTCTTAAGATGGCACAGAATGAATCTGCACAATTAAGTCTGCGTGTGAAAGAAGATACGTATATTAAAGTCATTATTGTAACGGTAATATATTAGAACCAGACAGAAACAAAGTGTGAAGGGCCTGAACGTATATAATATATATGTAGTCCCAAGAGAGTTTTCAGGATAGAAGGTTCAGTTCAGAGATATTGGTGCTGGAGGATAAGTTGCCAAATTCTCCTGGAGTAGCATCTTCTAATGATTGATATGAACTGACACGTCATTAGTGACTGGATGACACTAAATATGATGTTGTAATATTATGGTGAAGCCGAAAGACTGAAACTGAAAGTTGTGAGCGATAGAGTTGTTTTAAAACAACACTGGAATATTCAGATATTTGATTGTGTTACAAAATTTTCAATAGAGGTCTTTGTTGTCTTTATCGTAGTAGTTCCATTATGATGTCTGGTAGGACTCTTTCTTTATCCTATTACGTCGTGTCACCATTCAAGATACTATCTAAGGATGTCTCAAAACATAGTGCTAATATACTTAGCCAAAATCGCTCTCTCAAAAACCGCTCTCTCCGTTGACAGTTATTATAGAGAGAGCCACAATTAGAGGAGCACTGAAAAACGCAACGCACGGAAAATTACAAATTGGAACTTCCGCCGTCACTGGTCTAATCTATATTTCAATCCTTCGGCTTCCTGTAATTGTAACAAGTATGGTTGTTGGAAATGGAATGTCCGAAGTAAGATAAAAATGTGAACAGTAGTCTAGTGCAGTTATACATTAGTGTCTTGTGCGCCAGGTTCAGTATTAAAATTTTAACTAATCACTCTGTTTCAGAGTGGACACCCATCTTCAACTCAACATCCAACATGGTCGGACCCTTCACCTCCTCAAACCTCCCAGTATTTAAGTTGAAGTTCACTGAAAATAAAGTGGCAGACAAAAGACTATACCTGAGTGTAAACGTCAACCTGTACAATGGAAATGGAATAAAACTTGGTCATACAAACTTCATTATCAATGCCGGAATTGTGGATGAAGAGGTTCAGGTAACGGCTTACAAACGGTTCTATTTCGATGGACCATGGTCAGGAAACAGAAGTTGCTCAGAGACTCTCAACTCGGACTATCTTGAAGATTTTAACTTTGAGATGGTTACTTCAGTTGGATCGGAGGATATGTTCCAGATCACAACATCTAGCGGAGAGAGCCACAGTGAGAGTATGGGAGACTGCAGCAGCTACTCTACCTGGCAGGACATGTTGCTGGAGGCTGAGAGTGCTGATTTGGGGATGATCACCTGGCTGAGCGACCTGCCCGACTACTTTACTACTGAGTACACCGTGACGCCAGATTATTCAACTGATAACCAAACAGGTAAAACTCCTTCTAGATAGATTTAGCGGGAATATACGACATAGTCTTCTTTGGTCGATTTAGCGGGAATATAGAGCACAGTCAACAATCACCTGCACCAGTATCTCCCACAGTCCCACGTGTAAACCAGCTAAATGTCTACAAAACATGACTCAAATTATTTGTCTATTCACATATTATGACGTAATCATTTTTTTGGTAATTCTTGAATTCTTTTGACATAAAGAATTCACCACTAAAATAATCTTATATATTATTTAACTTTTTCTTAAAAACTTGCTTTCACAAATTCCGCTCTTTAGGAGCATAATAATCCCAAAAACTCATTTGACTTGAGCTAGCTTATCTTACTTAGAATAAAACCTTTTTTAGCTGACAAGAAAATATTGAATATTCATATTTAAGCATGTTATTGTTTATTGTTTACAACTAGTAAATGGATATTGTGATGTTTTCTTGCAACTTTTCGTGTTTTATTTCGCAAAAATTGCATCTCAGAATGTTGACGAGGTTTCAAAATTACATATCAACGTCAAAGAAGATATGAAAGTCGTAACATTTCAATTAAAAACAGTACTATGATATTGAAGGGCTGGAGCCTGGAATACCACTGAATTTAATTACTCGTGTGAATCATCATAAGATCATAGACATTACGTACATTCTCAAAGTACAAACTGTCACCCCAATCGATAACTCTCAAGCATCAATGCCTTTTTGTGCTTTCGAATAAATAACTAAAAAAGTGTGCTCATTTTCACATCTCTAATATCGCCAACTTTTGTTCAAACCTCTTGTCCCCTCTTGTAGCAGACCAATAGTTCCACACGTCCATACAGCAACCTATAAACCCATCCTCAGTTTCTTGTCACAATGATCAATGATGCTTAATGATAAGAGCGATTGTCTGCAAGCTGTAAAAACTTTACAGTGTCCAGTCATTAAACACCAATACGTAAGCGAGGTGCTGCTCTCTGCAGCTCAGAAACTCTCTGCAGTTATCACATAATATGCATTATGCAGTAGTCACGTGATTTATGCAGCAACACCAACACCAATAGCACCACCAGAAGCATCATACAGTAAAACCCAGATTTACCGCAAACCCCGATTTACGGCAAACCCCGATTTACCGCAAACCCCGATTTACGGCAAACCCCGATTTACCGCAAACCCCAATTTACCGCCAACCTCGATTTACCGCGGATGTTACCTTTCCCCCGCGGATGTTTCCCTTCCTGCAAACTCTGCGTTAAATCTGCGTTTTACTGTATCAATTCATCGGGTAAAGTTCCATGGTATGATGTGGATAAAGAGGAAAAGATTATAAACTATTATGATCTGAACATGTTATGACCCCAGACAAGCAAAATTACAATCTCGCCTGTTGGCTCTCGACAGAATGAGGTTGGCATTCAAATATATGGGCCTTCTGTCTGGAGGGAAGAATGCTAACGTTAAGAATGGTATTCAAATGTCTGCCAGACTTTGGGGCCGGAGTGATATGATCCACCATATACGTCATCAAGTAATTAACATGCAAGCTTGAAGCTTGTGGCGTATAATTAGTGATGTGATCCATGGATTGCTGCTGTAGATATATCCGTCAGAATCAAGCACCTGTTGACATCCTCTGAAACCGTTGAGGAACTTGGAGAAGGTAGGCATGACTGTTGATAGAATGCGATACTACTACCTTCTATCACCCAATATTTATACCTAGAACACTAGATCGGCTCACTCCCCTTGCATGCCTTTGACACGTACGTCTCACATCTCTTGATACGAGAACCCCCTCTTTAGCGAGAGCTCCCGTCCCTTATGTGATCTACGAGTCGAGCAGTCAGATTGGTGACGTGATCTGACCCCTCTTTGGGGGCCGGTTCAGTTTCCGGTCCCAAAGTCTCCCAGTGATTCAAATTGCATCCTTAAAGAATGCAAGGGACAAGTTTTTGGCAGAATACCGGCAGTTAGCCAAGTCTGAAGTCTACCGCTGTCAATGCATTCATAACATCACAGTTTTGTCATTTTCCTTATCTAATCAACAGCTTAATTTTAATTCATAAGAATTGGAACCAATCGTAATCATAATATTAATCACTTGCTCGTGTTAGGTCCACATTTTGGAGGACCGCTTCGTTGAACAGATACAGTTGTGGGGTATGTTCAGTGGATCCTGGAACAAGTAGGGTGGGGAGAGTACACATGCTCTCTTCAACAGACACGAACACATGACAACCACTATAGGGACTACGAGGAAAGAGTCGTGAAAATTTGTGAACTTACGACACGAAAGTATCTTCTTAAGGTTAAATCTAAGCAAAATGACATATTCAAATATCGTATTATCGTATGTTTTGTTATTATTTTAAATTATTTCTCGTTGTTTTATCTTTGCATAAGTAATATTTTTTGGTGTTCAGTAATGTTTTAAAATGTGATATAATTTTTGTATTCGTAATTATTTTTGTTACAGAAGGAATATATTTAATTTAGTCTGAGGATTCCTCATTCTAACCTGTCTAAACCCTGTACATAACATGAAGACTTTGTTGTAAAAGCATTAATACTATAATTTCTGTTAATCGGATCAAGGGACGATTCTAGTTTCACTATTACTTTTATTAGTCCTAATCAATATACCAGCTTTGGCACATTAGACCAACTTCTAATTGAAGCTAATATAGCCAATATTAAATACAACATCGAAAGTGACATTTGCCACTAATTGATGGAAAACGCAGATCGATTAATTATTATCTATATTAAAATTCTTCCAAAATGTCTCTTTCTATTGTAATGATTTTCCATTTATCGAAGCTTTTCTTCGGTAAATCAACTTCCCAATGTAATAACATGCACATTGTAAGATTGTTAGCAATGTCTGACGACTTCATAGTGTACCATCAAGCTAGTGATCAGCCCTATTCGGAGGGGTTTGTGGTGCACGGTGCTGGGGATAGTGATGACGAACACTCTCAGCAGGTCTAAACTTTAAATAGTTGGTTATGTATGTAAAATGAGATTGGGTGCTACTGTGATGATTTCGTGATATATATCCATTATCCAGACATTACATTTCTTCTTTAACAAACCGATTCGTTTGCAGCTCTTAGAGTCGGTGGAACTTGAGCATTTTATTAGTGATGTGTACTACGGGGAATTTCTGGGAAAGAGAAAAGGAGCGAAGTTTGTATCAAGTATCATTTCGTGGATGAATCATCACATGCCTTTTGGTAAGCCACACAGTTCTTGTCAAGTTCTTTTTGGTTCTGTAAAAGCTAATTCAAGATGCTTTGTACATAAGAGAATTTAACAACCCGTTCACAGTATTGAAAACGATCATCACTTTGACCGGCTTATAAATTTAATGATTATTGATCAAACTTAGTTTTTAAACTTAGTTATTTAACAAGAATTGCGCCCGTTGTTTCGTTTTGGCGGACGCTAGATTTCCATTCCACATTTACTATAAATTTAAGTATAAGCTCCAATCAGCTCACTTCGATTTTCATGATAATAATATTGATAAATTATGCATCAAATACGGGAAACACTAGAAATTCAGTTCAATTGCCGTATAACTTAACTTGTATCTTAATTCAAGAAATTGTGAGCAAAGGTAAACTATACTCGTGTACACATCAATACACTACGCGTGCCACGTACAAATTGGGCGTATTACCTAATAGTAATATTATACATAACATCATATACATTAAAACACAGTCGCGCCGCGCATTCATAGATCACAGGCTATCTATACATCACATCTCCGCAAGCAATCCTCGCGCGCGCGCAACTTTTACGTTGCTTGGTAACATACGGAAGTACCCACGACATGTTCAGACCCGCCTACCGCTATCTCCAAAATCCACGTTTTTCTGCAAAAACCTCCATTCGTAACCTTCCACTTTAAATTTTTACAAAATGGTGGATGGAAAAAATAAATAAATTCTTTCAGATAAGAAGGTATCTTCTATAGAGGGTGACCTGAGAGATGGGGTGAAACTTTGTGGATTGATAAATGCTCTGAAGATGAAGACTGACTTGCCAGTTCCTGCACCTTCTAATGATGAAGAGAAAAAGGAAAACTTGTATCACATTCTCTCATTTCTAGCCTCTGAACAACATATGGAAGCTGATCATGAAGTTTTTGAATATGCTGCTCAGGATATAGGTATGGTTCATAAATCATTCCTTTACTTGGACTTTCGTGAATGTTCTTAAAAATTGTCATATTTCAACCTTATACATGTAGCTGCATTTGTTTATTACGAAAGTTAACAGTTGATCCCATTTCAGTTACTGGTGACACACAAGCAATACTGAGTGTTATCCTAAACATAATTCGACATCACGTTATTGATTGTTTAGAGGACCCCGTCCACGGTAGACAGGGAATAGAGCTGCTTGAATACTGGGCACAAGAAGTTGTGGGCATGTCTGGGAATCTCTTCTGCTCAGACTTTGTCACCACTCATATTGAATCTGATGGTAATCTGGAAAGATTGGCAATCCATCTTAAAGTAGAGCTTCCGCAATACCTTGGTAAAAACATACTGCATACTACCTTACTCGGGAATATTACAGCGGGTTAATTTATGAATTAATTAATTAATGACCGGGAAAAATATGGCGGAATTTTCCAAAACCCACCAAGCATCAAAATGTATTACTATTAGTTTACCTTACTCGGGAACATTATAGCGGGTTAATTTATGACTGGGAAAATTAATGACCGGGAAAAATATGGCGGAATTTTCCAAAACCCACCACTTTATCCCAGTCATAATATTCCCGAGTAAGGTACATAATTTGCATTAAAATTGTTAAATTTCCAATAACCAGACTCAATCCAAAATAACGAATGAATCTATTGTTTGAATATATTTTAGCGTAAAATGAGTTATATTTGTGAATTGTGATTCATTACCGCTCGCGCTGTAGAGTCGAAACCAAAACAAAATAATATTTTTTGTTCGCAGATTTTCTGTCCTCCCAAGAAAAAGCGGCCTATTTGGTCGAGTGGTTTGAGAAAGAGACAGGTATTCCTCCTTTGCTGGATGTTACGATGAAACTAGAAGACGGAGATGCACATTTGAACATGTGGTATCACCTTCTAAGATATATCTGGCTGGCTGAAATGTATCAGTTTTCTTTGAAAACCAGAAAAGCCAAGGTAGTTGATTTGTCGAAGATGGTCGGGGAAGGGGCAGTTAAATTTAACATGGTAGAATCAATAGGTTTTTTCACATTTGACTACGTACAAACTACATATTACCGCATTTCTTACTGCTTCAGACAGTGGGTGAAAACGAAAAACCAACGGCACCTCAAGACATCATACTGACTGCCATATACACGGCAGAAAAGAGGGAGAGAAACAGAACCATGTTGGTGGACCTGTGTCGAGATGTGTGTGACTGGAGTCAGGAGAAAATCAGAGTTCTGAAGAAAGAAGTTGCTGCTCTGGCGGGGGCATCTGATATTGGATCTCGGAGTGTCATTCAGCTGGCTGACATCTACACAATGATGTTAGAATTTTTATATTGTTATTTGTCTAAGCCTGTGCAAGCCTTTTTATCATTTATTTGAGCTTTGTTTATCTATAAATGAATCGGTAATCTGAAGATACATACAGCTATGTGCTGTAGCGATTATTCCCCGCTATCATTTGATTGAAGTGTTGTACAGCTTTGTTTCAACTGTACTAAAATTTTATTCTTAATTTATCCCACAACGGTATTTTAAAACTCAGGCGGGAGGAGCAGCAGTCGTACAGCGAGAAAAAGATCAATTGTTACAAACTGCACTGTGACGTTCAGCGTAAAGCACAAACTATTGGAAACAAAGAGCTTAAATATGACCCAACTTATAACATTTACAAAGTAGAGGATCTTTGGAACAAGATGGTGAAGATGGAGCATCAACTGGAGAAGAGAATTCAGGGTTATCTGCTCCGTGCCGAGAACAAGAATTCGTTTTTCAACCAGTGGAAAAATGAGGTTAATCTCTATAGTTGCCGTTTGTCTTTGTGATTTGTTCACATACTATTGGGTGTTATATAGCTGCTAAGTGCTAAGTGTATGATAGATTAAACAATCAATGATGGTTGATGTGCCCAAAGTCATGCATCGAAAGTAAAACAAGAAAACTATGGATACAAATATCGTAACTTCTAAAGATTTTTCTACTTTGTATTATTACAATTCTGTTGAATAATTTGCAATTATTTCGTCTTCAGGTGTCCCATGTAAAACAATGGATGTTAAGATGGCAAAACCATATAACTACTACCCAAGCCACTCTTAAAGATTTGGGTTCGTGTGAGCTCAGAAAGTGTGTCAAGGTCTTCAACAAATTTGGTTCTGACATCGATGAGTTGGTAAAGAACATTTCATCATCAATTGAGCTGTGCACATCACATCGTCATAACACTTAAACTTTCTATTCTCATTTCATACGCTTTTTAATTAAGCGCATAGGTTTTTTCTGCCTGAAATTCTGGGTTTTGAGTACTTTTTCTAATGTATAACATACCCAACATAATGTATCATTCACGGTCTTCATTTCGTCTTATATCAGAACTCTCCTTCTAGGATGAAACAAAGCAAGCTAGACTGCTGTGTAACATGTTGGTAGAATTCTCAATAGACGGAGAGGAGCAAGATACTGTCATTTCTAAGACAAATTCGCTCTGTGCTGATTACAGACAGTTTTTAAAAGACGCTCGACACTTCATCAAGGAACTTATCGCTCACCAGGTATTTGTTTATTCTGGGTGATGAGATTTGATGATGAATTCTAAATTTCAATACTGGTGCGATGTATTAATATCTGAGGCCCATAATTTGTGAGCAGGTTTAACTGGAGTCATCTCAGTGTACAGTAACGAGTAATACCTGTTCAGGACTATGAAGCAGAGATTGAAGTTATGTACAGTGAAATGGCGGATCTGCTCAGTAAGCTTGATGGTCAGATACACGAGTTAAACCAGTACTATTCACAGCGACCTGATCTACACTCTGTGGGAGCTTGTGTCCAGGTTTTTAGCATTGTTTGAGATTTTTTGGCGTTCTTGTTCTTGAAATTTCGATCATATTCATGAAAAGAAGAAAAGATGACCGTCATACTTTGGCAAAAATCATTGTTTCGAATATCTTGATATGAATCATATTTCGCATTCCAAAAAATCTCAAATTAGCAAAGACATACCCGATCCCGAAATATTTTCACCGTATTTTCGTCATATTTTACGAGCAATAAATGTAAAATTTACTGAACCTGAATTATTGATTCGCACGTTATTTATTACTGGTATGCAAACTTCCAGATGAGTTCCTACGTACGAGACACATGGAATACACTGTTCGATATATCGTACGAAGTGGATGCTGTCATTTCGCTCTGGGATGATATCGAACGGAAGAAATTGCGCTTTGGCAACAACTTCCCTAAAAACCATTTCACCAGTAAGAATATTTTAGTTAATTTACTTAATTGAAAAGTAGCCATAGATATAAATACATCATAAGGAACCAGTTAAGTTAGTACCCCAATCGTGTCTTGTGCCATCCTCAGTGACCTTGCATTTTGTAAGATGGTCATTGAAGAAAAATTCAGTCAAAACAGGGAAATTTGGGTTGCGGAAAGCCGAAATTCAAATTTTTATTGCATCAAACTTTTCTCCGGATATACTGCTTCCAGTACTGTATTGACTATTGTTATATCAATTTAGTCAAACCCTCATGTCAGGTTTCAATCCAAAGTACATACTACAAAGATGGAGTCGTCTGATGGAAGAGGCCAGGTGTATAGAGGAATATATTCGCTGTCAGCGAGAAATCTGTGAGGAAAACCAACCGGCCGTGGAAGCCGTTGCTGAGAGACTTGATGAAGCGTCCGAAATTCTGAAGTCAAAGATCTCAGAGGTACGATTTTTGCTTGTACTTTGGCTCCGCAAGATTGATTAAATTTTCTAATCTGGAATGATCCATACGCTATCAATGGACCGTGAATAGGTTGATAGTCTCGTAACTGCATGAAATTCGACAGATTTGATCAATCTTCCAACTTCATACTGTTGGAAACCAGTTACCAGATGTCAAATTCAACCTAAATTTATAGACATTTTGCTACATCAATTTTACCTCTGTGATAATTTTGCACAGATTTCTAAAAAATACAACACTAACAGCTAACTACAGTATATTAAATAGCTGTTTTTGGCGAACTCAGAAATTCGGAATGGGTTTCCATTTGGGGACTCGTCTAAACTCCAGAAATCGCGCGAAAATATGCCACAGTAAATGATAGAAAGCACATCGTGTCTCATCCACTATGACATTAGCAATACTCATTAGCATGTGTGCCGCGCGTCATTCGGGGTCGCTAATCGTATCGAAATCGAATGTTTGCCGGTCTAGTGATAATAATAAAGGAGTTTAAATTTGTAGGCGATTTTCCATTTTCAAAGCTTTCTCTGGATGTCTAGCTTCCAGAACATCAATCGAGTTTTGTGCCATCTATTAATGCACTCACAGCTCACTAATAATTGGTCGGTGGACTTTTAGTAGAGGCTCTTACGGGCATTGTCTGCTCGATACGTTAGGGACCCCAGATACACCTTTCTAGACGTATTTTTGACCGTAGAATCGATTGAAAGTAGTTTCAAGATAATTGGACTGATTGTTCTGGGGTAAAATCGCAAAAAACCGATTTTTGGGCCAAAAATAGGCCAAAAAACCATGTTTTTTGATATTTTGAGCAAGTTAATTTTGTTGGCATGTCGGCAAAACTTGCATAAAGATAGCTAAAAGACAGCCGCACAAGATTGTATAAAAATAAAACAAATCCCTCTATTTGTTCTGAGGTAAAAATCCAATAAAGTGGTAAAAATTTTGACTTTTTTGCTTGAAGTTTGGATAATTTTTTGCAGTTGTATTAAATCAACCCAAAAATAGTCACATCGTGTTTGCCTAAATTTTTCCTTTCCGAGAAGTACCCACTTAATATACTTTATCGAAGTTTGAATATTTTCACTCCGCAAGCGTTTTTGCCAAATTTTCGACGCGCACTACGCGCAAAAGCATTTAGTTGTTATCAATTGGCACCCGCGCGTTCATCATAAATTTCAAACAGCTATAACTCAGCGAGATTATGTCCGTTCTAGCTCATATTTTCACACTAAATAGAAAATAATGTGATCTTATTGCTGACAAAATATGAATATAATTACTCTATTTGCCTTAGAGTAATAGACTGTCAAAGTTTAAAACGCGCATTGGTATAGCACGTGACTAATAAGGCCAAATTTATACTTCTTAACATATTATCGATCCTTAGACATCATACTATTGTGTCCAATTAGCGGTTAGGTCTCTAAACTCGTAGCAGAAAACACGTCTTTTTGCCCGTAAGAGCCTCTACTATTTACTGGGCCGCGCTCAGCCTGTCATTCCGCCAAATCTTTATTCGTTTTATATATGTTAATGAACATAATAGCCTGGGGTCCTCAGGTAAGGTGGACTAGAATTCCGTTGAAACAGTGATATTTCGGTCCAGAAAAGTTCATATCCGGAAATCTAAATTTTAGTACCTAAATTGTGTCTGATGCTTTCCATAGTGAAATAAATAATTGGTCATTGAAGAAAAATGTGGTAAAAACTGTCAAATGTCAGTTCTGGTAATATCGTATTATAAATATGAAAAAATGGAAAAATCATTTTGTCCCATATTTTGTCCCATTTCTGGTCCATTTACAAATTTGTAAAAGGGACAGAAATGGGACAAAATGATTCTCCATTTTGTAGACACAGACATTTGTTTTATCCTGTTAATTTAAATTTCGGAACCATAAACTCAAATTCGCGTTTGACGTTTAATTACATACACCCAGATTGTTGTCTGTCTGGCTGGTAGCAATGGGAACATTATGGAGACTGGAAGGGACAAGAGCCCCGTTAATAATATCCTGATGCTCCAAAACGAGCTTACACAGTCCTTTAGCGATATGAGCTCGATGAGCGAAATAACTGATGATCTTCCTAACAGGTAACAACTTTCACTCTGCTAAACAGCTTTTTAAAATTGGGTTGATCGAATTTTCCTGTGTTGTGATTTACATTTGAGTTAACCATTAAGAACGCCTTTTTGTCAATTATAATGTCATTTTCGTAAAGTTTTATCCTAACACAAAAACTATCCACTTCAGTGGTTTGTTCGACGATGCTTTCAACAAAATCGTTCTTCTAAATGAGTGTTACTCTTTCTGCCTGGCTACCATCGACTTGGTCATCTCCGGGCACGATACCTATCCTAAACTGATACAAGCGGAGGGCATGGCAAGCGATGTGGAGTTCTATCAAAAAGAACTGAATTGCTGCAAGGAGAAAAATCAGCTTCTTCCTAAGTACGAGAACGTTGTAAAGCTGTTTTCAGAGTTGGATCAGGACACGAAATCTCAGTTAATCCAGCAATTGAAACAGGAGGTCGAGGCGGTTAGTTCTTCGGACTATTAGTTCTGAGTTTTTAACCTAGTAATGTCAAGGTACCGCTAAATGTAGGTCGGTGAATGCTACGGTCAACCACTATCATGATCGAGAGAATTCGATAGTTCGCTTGTGCTCTAGCTGATAGCTCTAAGCTCATCGACTAGTCTGTATATTTTGAATAAGTGTTGTACGCTGTACTTACCCTTACAACTACAATGTACGGGTATCACCGTTTAGTATACCATTACCAGCTAGTAATAGTATGACAGTAGGATTTATCATCTGAAATATGATATTTGTCAGGTGGATCCTACTTTCTATCGCGTCCCTCTTTCTGCATGGCTCAATGTAAGACGTGACGACTTGGCAGTTACGGAGCTTCAATCATGTTCACAGAATTTGAAAGATTGCTTTGCTTCGGTCTCCGGTCATGATGAGGCTATTTTGATGGGAGATGTTGACAAATATATCCATCCCGATTTGGTGGCATTCCTTCTGAAAAACATGACCGAATACTTCAGTGAGTTTTTAAATTTTGCTATCTTAGTCAAATTTCAAAAGTCAAAAGATGCTTGTTTCAAGGGTTGTCGATTTATCTGGAAAAAGTTTCCTTAATACTCAAAAATTCAACAGACCTTTTCGAATGTATGTCCCTTAACTATATAATAATAGTCAATATCTAAAATCAGGCAACGAAGAAGATTTGGATGATGACGCTTATGACTACAAGAGATTGATTGCTCATCTGACCGGAAAGAAGAGGAAGTTAGCAGTACCTGTAGAACATAACGGATAATTTAAAAATTGAGAGAAAAACGGTTTATTTAGTACGCAATTAATCCTCTCGTTTAAAATTCCAGCAGTACACACTAATCTTCGTTCATTAAAAGGAACTATATTTAAACCTATTAAAAATAACCTATTCCTCTTCCCTTTCGAATCCGCTGCAAAACAACTGTGCATTTTGGAACAGATCTAGATCATTTTTGAAGAACTGAAGATAAGATTTTATAATCAATATCAATGTTGTATCTCTTAATTCCTAGTCCTAAACTGTTTTCTGACCACTGTCGTCGTCCCATGTCTTTTAAAAAGAATTAAGTGTTCTTTTTTGTTTGCTGGATGATACTGATATTTGATAATAACTGTTTTTTACACTTTTGCCTATTGTGATGACAATGTTTTTAAGTTCGATTTTGTAATAATTATGTTATTATATGTATACAACTAACGAATATTAATAAGCACTGAAAGAATAAAGTTTGTTATTATTTTCCAATTATCATTATGTGGCCCAAAATATTCTCTGTGTAATGTAAATTAAGCTAAACTGATGTGATAAATAAGTTATTCTCAAGCCTTAAACTTAAAGTTAAATTGAATAATAGGCCACATTTTTGACTGGCTTGAATAACCAGATTCTCCCAAATAAAAGAAGCGGTCTCGCCGAAACCCTAACCATAACCCCGAAGCTAACCCTGAACAATCAGATTCTTATTTTACTAGCCTGTCACTTTACCAAAACAGTTTTTTTGCTCATAACTCCTTATTCCTTGACCTTAGGGAAGCGTTTTGGAATCAGCATAGAAAAATTTCTCTTATTCTCTTATTCTCTCTCTCTCTCTCTCTCTCTGTCTCTCTCTAAGTTTATATTGTATATATGCGGCAAATTTGAAGACTAGGCAATCTTAGGTTGGATTATTCAACAATGTAGGCTAGCATATATAAACGTTACTTTACACGATTGTTGAGTTTAACAAAACAAACCCTCATAGAAGTTTTTAGATGGGCAGGATGAGTGGGGCGAGTTAAGCATAATTGAGGCGGAGTATTCAATATTGTAACTTTACAACATTAGATTCCAACACATTTTGTGTATAACTATAAGCTAAAATTCCTGCAAACTGTTATATCATATAATTACAACTATTTGCTATTATAATATCTAATCGTGACTATAGAGTTAGATTATTAAGTGACTAAATTTCAATCTATTCGCATTACTTCTCTTTTAGTTTCACAAACAATTTCTCTCGATGATAAAGTTTTTCTTATAATTATGTTATATAGACGCCGGTATTTGGCCTAAAAACGATCAGCTGAGCTGAATAAATTATCTGAAAGTTATGGTTTTAGTTTAAAGAGCTTATACGTGCCACATATGTCCAGGTGCATTATAATAATGCAGGACTTCTTGGCAATGAGCTTGGTTGTGGGACACACTCAACTAGGGAAGTTGAGAGGCCTCAATCAAGTCTCATTAAAGAGACATCAACAGAGTGTGAACCACTGCCAGACTTACCTTTGATAAGAGTTTGCCAGGCTTTATAAGTGTGGCAGATGAAAGATGCTCACAGCTCAACTAAAGGACTGTTATTATATATACATTTCAATTAATCATTACCTGAACTTATTCAAAAGAGCTATATACTATAATTAAATGTATAAAATTCAACTATAAACATGGTAACAATTAAGTTCAAAATTCTGCTGATTAGCTGCAACATTTACGTAATTATACGGCTGCTTTGAGTTTGCGCAAGGCTGAAAGTGAGTTGCCGATGTCATTATAACACTGTAAACTTATCACACAAATCATTTTCCTGTTATACTTATACATTTGTTAACTATCTATATAATTCTATAAGACAGTTGTTTACATCTTGTGAACCAGTTGAAGCTGTACTGACAGCTTGTTTTTTGCTATCTATTATCTGTAATCAGTGATTCAGATTCGATTAGAGTTAAATGGAGTGCGCAGTAATTTATCCACGGCCTATTCGTAGTTTCGTTAGATTTAATATATTGGCGAAAAGCTTGCGTATTTCGAACACCGACGAACAGCCTGCAGATGTAAAACATTAAGTTTAAAGAAAGCACTTATGACATAACTGAAGGTAACTGAACAGAGGACAGATGTTTGATGAGGGCTCTATATACAGTCTTACTCGTAACAGTAACACTTAATATTAGGTGTATTTTGTGTGTACCCTTCAAGAAACTTGTTCGAACATTGTGATATAACCCGTTAAGTCTATCAAATGAAGTTTCGTCCTCTTGGGAGTGGGACTTCTAGAATAACGTAGAGCTTTTTGTTTCGTGTTTTTATATAAATGATCATATCTGTCGGCGATAGACTAGGACAAGATGTTATTTGTTGCTCAGTTTTGCCTTGATTTGATCTTTAAAAAATCATGCAAATAGCTGAGACACACACATTGACATAGTGCAATGTGCTTAGATCATTCAAATTAGCTTAGAACTAGACCACATGGAATTTGCTATTATGTTTTAATCAAGATTTTTGTATTTTGATTAAAATATATGCTTAGTCTAAATTTGTTAGCCATGTTTGATTGTTGATAATGATAAGCTTTAGGCTCATGGTAAGGCGATTTCTACACCCATGCCGTAGAAGTTGAACGTGATCATTGTTCAGCAATTTTACGTTAACTGACCGGCGTCAAATTACTTCAAAAGGGCCTTTAATACATAATAGCTTATCGATTATCGAAAAAGAGCACTCAAACAATAACCATTCTCTTTTTATGTTTGTCAAGCCTTTTTAAAGGGCTCGAATAATTAAACTTAAAGGCTAAAAACAGCGTTATCTTGTTGCTTGTATTCCCTAGCAATCTATACCGTGTTGATCACACACGGCGTGGCCACTGTGCAATGTAACCTCGCCCCAAGTAAAGTAATTATACTGGTACTGGTAGGACTAGGAGAGCTAAAATGCCGGCGTTCAGAGTAATCAAATCATTTCAAACAGCAATTTCTTACATTCTAGATCGCGATACAATAGTAATGGACATAGTGCTAAGATTAATCTTTAATCCTCACCCAGTGCCGCGTGGTATCGACATGTTCAATGTTTAATGTGTAGAGTTTGATGTGTAGAGTCAAAGGTACAGAGTCTGGTCTTCAAAATATTCATATTGGTTACCTTGCTGTGGAACACGTAATTATATTGTAGGCTGACTGCTGAGAAACACGCCTCATTTTCGTTTTGTTCAACAACCATGACGTTTTCAATCTTTTGTGCTATCGCTTTAACATTCAGAGAGCTTTGTTTCTGACAGTCTAGTACCATATTTATATGCTGGTAACTTTTTGTTTGGCCTTATGGATCGCAGTAGTTAGATTTTATTGAAAAATAACATGATTCATGGTTCATTTCTGAGCACAATATTCGTTAATAAAAAGCTTAAACTCCTTTGGTCGTGATTGAAGTACTATATAATACGTAACATATTACACTCCTGTTTTAATTATATGACGAAAATAAACCGAATTTAATTCAGGGGATGTTGATAAGATTGGCGGAGTTTAATGTCCGATAGAAAAAAGGGATATCAGCATGAAAAAAACCGAACAGCGGACCTGATCGAGGATTACTTGGACCAATATGAGAAACACACTAGTACCAACAGAAGAATACCGAAACCTACGGCAGGCCAACCGTCCTCCTCAAAAAAGAAACTTAGCTCGACCAAAACAGGACCTTTGAGTTCAACGACAGAGAAACGATCATTGCACCCAAACGCTCCAAAATTTGATCCAAGAGTTGAGGATGTCGCCTTAAAACCAACCAATACTTCACTAACAGTAACAACTAAAACGTTAGCCACCATCGGGACACCGAGAGCAAAATCAGCAGAAAGTTTCCTCCAAACCCCATATAATGCCAGAAAAACAACGACTACACAAAGCAGAACAACCACAAGCTCAATCAAGGAGAAGAGGCCAGAACGTTCCACAGCTGAGAACAGGTTAAGGAACCTGCTGAAACCTCACTATCCTAACTCTGGAGTAGTACCTGACCGTGCCTCTTCTGTTCCACCCAATACTCGCAACTTACGTAGAAATTCAGATGATCACCTCTACTCGTCAGACAGGACTAAGAAATTAGACCAACTGAGGCCGGGTCATAACAAAGATAGCGGCTGGCAAGACCCCAACATAACCAGGAAATCAATTCTCAGACACTCGATAAGCACAGATAGTCCAAGACGGTACAAGGAGACTATTGATAGCAGTTCGTCTGCTGATAGTTTCTACAGTGACAAGCGTGTTCGTTTTGAGGATCAGATAAGATTAAAGCGGAAGATAGCACCCTCACCTGAACTTGTTCAACTAGTTCGGACAGACTCTGATAACTCTTTGGCCTCCAGTTCTTCTGGAAATCTTCACAGCACTTCGGAGGTTTCGGTGTCCTCTGGGACGGGCAGTTTGCAGGACTTAAAACTTGTCGATTATTCCCTTGGCTCAAACAGCGGTTCTCGTGATGCTAGCCACAATAGCTTAGAGAGCCAAGGGAGTTCAGGACGTCAGGTGAGACAGTACTCCTCCAACGATAGCGACTATTCTACAGAGAATGAGTCTTTATATGGGATTGACAAATTGAGGAAATATGGGTCGCATTACTCCAGCAGTGACAGCTTTAAATCGTCTGCTTACAGCTCAAGTTCCTCAGTCAAAAGCCCACAAGCTTTATATTCTAAAGGTGATTTGCAATCTCGACCGAGAATTAAATCGGAAAGCAGCGAAGATGAACCCGTTCAAAGAAGGCTCAAGAAAATCACACTGAATGAATTTCATGCAGAATCGGACGAAGATGCGAAAAGTGACGGCAGTAACAGCACATTGACAGACAGCTCGGCAAGTGAAAGTGAGGTTGTGTTACCCTCAGGGATTGTGATCACGCGAGAGAAGTTCACGAGCGGCAGCGAGTTCGAGAGCTCGGCAGAGAGTGCTGAGGACAACTCTGAGGTTGATGATGGTTCTTGGTACATGACGGTCAAAGAGCACAGAGCATCATCACCCAACAACTTCGACGAGGAGGAACAGGTCATGGAGAAGGAGATATACTTTAAATATAAAGAATCTCGTAAGGGTCTTGAGGTAATCGAGCAAGGAATTGTTCCTGAAGCTCAGTTTATTTCAGTGGAGAATGTGGAGTTCGAAGAGGTGAAGCAAGTAAAAAGACCCATACCTAGAAGACCAAAACCCATAAAGCCCGTGGAGATCATAGTTCAAAGTGTGAGTGACTCAGAATCAGATATTGTCGTCACAATGCAGGAAGAAAAGCTCAGATGGAGTAGTAAATCTCCTAAAAGATCAGATCTGGAATCACTCAAATCAGTAACTCTAAAAGAGGGTGAGATGGATGATCTATCAGAAAGCTCGATATCTCTAACCTACGTAACCACACTGGATGGAAGTTTGACTCAAACCAGTTTGTTCACACTGCCAATCCAGGGCAAGCATTCTCCAAATCTGGCCGACATAAACTCTGCTCCTGAATCTTCAGACACCTCGTCTACCAGGGGTGTACACGCACCGTACCATCTTGTTAAACAGATCGTGAAACAGAACGAAGCTTTGCTCCAGCTTCAAAAACAGGGTAAGCTGAACAAGTTGGTCAGCTATAGTTTGTCTTCACTCTCCTCAAACGGTACCGAAGCCACAGAATCCCTGGTGTCTCTAGTGGAGGATAATGACCCGACAGGCTTTGCACCTAGGTACTTCTACGACTGCTTCGGCATCAAGAAACAAGTCAGGGTATCCACAGGAACTTCCACTGTTTTTGGCTCAGGATACTCACTAGAGAAGCCGTATGTTAGTGATCTGACACGAAGTAAACTCAGGAATGATGATGCGAGGCGAAGATATTTCCATCAGCGAGCCACGCAGACTGCTTCTGATATCGGTGCGGAGGAAGTTATTCTTCTTAATCCTGTCAGTTGGAAGGAACAGAAAACAATGGTTTCCACAGAAGTTCAGACTGATCTTAGTGGGTCAAGGCGACTAAGTTTACAAAAGCAAGCATCCATCTCCAGCGCATTTGACGAATATTCCAAATCTCCGACTTCTGTTTCCTCTCAAAAAGATACGAAAAACATAGGGGCCTCAATTTCTGACACAGACAATTTAATCAGTTCTATAAAATCATACAATTCTCAGTGCTCGGATGAACATATTATCACAAAACAAAATTTTGTGAATTTGCATGAGACAGATAGAAAAGACAGCGTAATTATAGACAGTGTTAAGAACACGAGAAAAATCCCCAACAAAAAGTTTGCGTACAAAAAAGAGAAAAAGGAGGACGATTCAGAGATCGAAATTGCTGCAGCAGGGGATGGTAAGTTTGTTCAAGAATTATCTATTTCCAGTGGCACAGATTCCGTTATTAGTTTCCACGAATGTTATGAAGAGATTGTCTCAGAAACTGCATTGTTAGAGAGTTCGTCGTCAGATCAAAGCTCAGATGGCCTGGGTCACAATTCTTCGCTTTCTTCTGACACTGAAGAACTGCGAGTAAGCCTGAAATTGTCGAGAGATCTCTCAAAGTCAGGAAGCAATGTGTCTGCTGGAAGTAGTGAGGAGCATTCTTCATGTCAAGACTCAACCTCTAGAAGTGTACATTGCTTGGAGGCAAAGGAACGAACACCACATATCTCTGCTGAGGTTATCACTAGTACTACTGAAGAGGAGCCTTCTCTTGCAAGCAGATCCATCGAATCTCCGGCAAACAGTTCTGTGCACTCAGCTGACCAGAGGATGATAGAGATGATACTGAACGAAGTAGAGGAAATGATCATAGAATCTAAAACGTGCAGCATTGAACCGAGCACTACTGAGAGAAAAAATGTTTCAAACAGTTCTACCTATTTCATATCAGACTATACAGAGTCACATGACTACTCTGAGAGAGACAGTTGTTACTCGTTAGGAGAAATTGTAAAAGATCCAAAGAATAACATCCTCACAGTATACTCCTCCTCACCATTGACTGGAAGTATAAAATCAGCTGAACAGAGTGTGACAAAGATGGAATGTGATTCTACTTCGTCGCCTGTTGATCGATTTCTGCTGCATCTTAAGGACAAGTCTTCATCAGCTTCCTCTTCGCTTTCCGGCTCACTGGTCTCAATTAACAAGTCGAGCGAGAAACCCGAATCCGAGTTTGAAAGGATTCATAGAGAGATGAAGGAGATGTTTGATAGCGATGGCCAGAAATCATTGACTAGTAAAAACTCTTCTAGCTCAACTCTGCGCAAGATCCCATCTATTCGAAACAGTGTATCCCACAGAGTCAGGAGATATGGTTCTGGTTTATCGATTGAACATGAAACTACTTCCACTGACGAGGAGGAATTGGATAGAGACGAACAGGAGGACAGTGACGAACAAGTAATCATAGAGACGACCAGTGACTTTTTAGAGGGGAAATCTGTGACCAGTTCCAGGTTCAGGAGGAAAATACCAGCTAATTTGAGTTCCTACGGAGCCATCAGTGACCCAGAGGCTATTCTCCGACTACCCAAACTGAGCGGTAGCTCTGACGTTAAAGAAACGAGCAGGCTAGTAAAGAGTCGAGGTAGCAACCGATCAAAACATGGTGTTCCTCGTCTGTCCTCTCTCTCCACAACTCAGAAATGTACTGATATTGGAATAGTCACCTCGAACAAGGCTTTTAAAAGAGACCAAAGCCGTGATAATTCTGCAGAAGACAGCTCGGACAACAAAGTTAACAAGAAACCCTCCACTAGAACCACTGTATACTCCAGCAAACTGAGGGCTTCATCAGGAGAACCCGGTCTTAGCAATCATGGAGGTGGTGGGCTGGTGAAATATGACCTTACGGCTGATCTCGATACCAGCATTACCAGTTCTGATGATGAGCTGTCTCCGGACGAGCTTGAAGTTAATGATCTGGTTTACAGTATGAAATTTAGCAAACCATCACAATTTGAGGAGGATATCATTAAGTTTTGTGAGAATTGCAGGTCGGAGGAGTGCGAACCTGGGTGCGAGTCGAGTAACACCAACAACAGTGAGATGACGGAGTTTGCGAGGTACAAAAGGGGGAGGTGGGCGGATGATTACGGGGTTCTGAGAGCTCTCAAGTGGGTCTTCTGTCCGTGTGGGGACGCTTAGATTTAGAATAATTTGTTAGTTTAGCGTGTTTAGAATATTTAGCTATGATCATGAGCAATAGTTGACAGATTTACAAGTATCTGGTTAAATACGTATATTATTATGTGTAGATTGATCTAGGACGATTAGGACCTTGGAAAAATATTTTTTCTATCAAAAGTTTTAATTTTGATCACATTTGTAGATAAATCGGACCTGCATTAATTATTACAGCTGTAATAGATAAAGTACACAAAATTTTCATATAACCTGACATATCATTTGTAATTATTTAGGATCTTAGAAACACCAATTTGTCGTGTTACAGTTCATCATAAATTCCAGAACAATTGAAAGAAATAATCTTGAAACATTCATAGCGTAAAAATGTTCTTAAATAAAACATGCGTGCTCTGTTGTATTTACAAAAATGAGCTTCGGAACACAGTTCCACAAATATTTTGGAAATTTCAGTAAACTTACTTTTCAACCTGCGAAAGTAATCTATTAAAGTTCAACAACAAACCAATAAATAATAAAGACCATAAACCGTAAGATATTACATCATTAAATTCTTAAACTCGAAGTATATTTGATTACAGCCCGGGTTTACAAAATGAGAGTTGTCTTTTAAAATTTGCCCGATTAATCGATGGCTGTCATCTGTAAGATGCTTGTTGTTAATTGATCTTCCTATAGCCGAAGTCAAGGCTTTAACTTAAACACTTCTAAAATAAATAGACAATCAATTTCCCTCATTCCTCATGTAACTAAGCAACATTAGTAACCAAAGTAACGTCAAAATCTAATTTACATCATCACATCGAGCATAACATGAAGATTCGATGAAGAAGGCTATGTATTATCTTAATCATTCGAGATAACTAAATATTGCAAAAAAGTTAAATTTCAAGTTAAACCGATAAATAATTGTTATTAAAGTTTTATCTAAGGTTTAGAACGAAAGTCATTTAATCTCATTCTTGTATTGATAAGTGTAAACTGTACAATAATGTAAAACCCTACATAGTGCTAAATGTACATTCTAATTCTATACATCGGATATCATGATCAGGGCAGCGATTCACTTCAACAAATCAAAATTAGCTCTGGCAAACACAAAACGTTTAATTTCATGCTTAAAATAATGCATCATCTTTTTTCCTGCATCTTATCTCACTTAAACTGTATCTCATATCACTCACTGATCTACAAACTATCGCCAACTTTGTACTCTAAGGCGCGTCTATTACGATGAACGCCTAGATCTACCTCAGGGACTGACATAGTATTATAAAAAGGGTCCGACAGTCCTCTGATAAATTGGCCCCGTCAATCAAGTCGGTCAATGGAGATCCATATTTTATATTATATTCAGAGGCGATTTCTTTTAAGTCTACCTGCAGGAAGAAAAGAGGGATGATACATTTGGAAACAAGGCGCGGCTCAAAGTTAGAGGATGAATTATATATAGTTAAATTTGTTTGTGATTGTATTTTAGATAACATGAACGAACTTTTACTAACGTCATATCTAGCAGAAACAATCCAAAGCAGCACTGAGGAGAAGTGTGATTTTGATTTAGACTCGAACACAAACTTCGCTAAAAACGTCGTTAGTCCGTTGTTTGCAGTGTACACTGAGGTGATAAAATAATTTATAAAGATGCTACAAATTTTTTTATATATCAATGTTTGTGAAAATTTACCTCAGGGTACAGCATAAACATCAAGAATATGAGGCTTCCGTTACATAATAGTAATCACGGTAAAGAAAATACTCATTAACCAAGTGCAAGTGTATGTAAAGGTTGAAATAATACCTAGATTCAATAGCGCTTTTTGTAGATGGAAAGTGAATTCTTGGAGAATAAGCTCCGTGATGTCCTGTCCTGATTCCTGAAATTGTGACATTAGATACAGAGAAGTGGAGACCAGATACCTTACAAGACTTTTTTGTGGCGGACCAATTTGCGACGACCGAAATTTTGGCGGTCCGAAAATATGGCGAAATTGAACAAAAACCGTCACATTTCGGACGTCACAGAAAATAAGGGTATTTTTCATCATTTTGTTTTCTGACACAAAGGAAATTCAAAATTTTCTAAAAATCGGTAAAATCATGTTGAAACAAAATGAAACTTATAAGTCGATTTCTTCATCTTCCTCTAAGGGGTCCGGCTAGACTCTTTCAGTTTCACGCTGTTCTCCAGTGTACTCCCAGGAGTAAGATTCTCGGATAAGCTGCTTCATCTTGTACACGATGTATCCGAGGCCTTTGAAAGTAAGTTTCAACTTGACTTCCAATCCACCGGAGGGTATAGGGGAACGACGGTGTCTGCTATCCTCAACAACTCCATTAATTTCCCAACCGTGGCACATGAAATAGTGACAATGTTTACTAACTTCTAACGGAATATGTCCGACGGTTACCAACTGTGGAACAAGCAAACCTCTTCCGTCCTTATCCGCTTCACGGCACACGCATACCGATCATGTTGAAGAGACACATCGTTAGTTTCCCGATGGATAGTAACCTTCTCACCATCGTAGATATCAGTCCATGTGGTTACTTTTCCGGAACAAGATCCTTTTTAAATTGACTTGAGTAATAAGATGATTACTGATTAGTGCTGATTTTAGTATTTCAATCTAAAATCTAAATTTTACTCTACTGATCAATGACAGTATATCTGCATCACATGACTTATTGAGTTTGGTATTAAATTGTTTATCTTGACTTATTCTCTTATAAGACGTTTATGTTAGCACATAAATGTAATTTATTGTAAATTTAAAACGTATTACTTGACATTAAATTCATCATGGAATATTGTGTTTATTTGTCCCACCATCATATCACTAACTTTTCAAGAACAAAATGAATCGATGAAGCCACAATTATTGGAATAAGCTAAAAATAATGCGACGGATTCTATTACGACGACCGAAATTTTGGCGGTCCGAAAATATGGCGAAATTTCGGGAAAACCGTCGCATTTCGTACGTTATGAAAAAGTCTTGTAAGGTAATGATATTTCAACCCTCGACATTTCAACCCTCGACATATTTACACCATTGTGTCTAGACCATTTTAAATAAGGTTTTGGGTTAGTGTCAGTGTATTGTCCGGGTATGCTTTGGATCAACAGAGTGGATTACTCCGCAACTAAAACAGAGCTACAGTCTAGATCTAGGCCAAACCCTGGAACTAAAGACCGCTATAGATAAGGTCGGAGCAGTCACTGAAATTAATTTGATGACTCAAAACATACAGGATCTCTTCCCCTTCAACTTCTACTGCACTGACCTCAGCACAAACAGATATATGGATCTATGTTTTATGGGGATGCGTGACTAACTCATTTGGAACAGACCAACCCCTGACCCCTGCGTTGAGGACCATTAATCATAAAGGAGATGGGAGAAGGAAAGAAATCTGTTGATGGTTAAGAATGGAAAAAGGACATATACTATGAGATCAGAGTATAAATTAACGAGCATAAGAGAGGAATTCAAACTTCTAGTTTTTTCTTCTTTTATTTTATTGAAAATTGCGGCCTCAATTCTTGTTTTAAATTGATACAGCCATTAATAAAACAGTATTTTCCAATACTCTCCTTGAGCTCCACCATCTTACTCCATCTGCAGTCCCACTTGTTCAATACTTGTCACTCAGCAGCCAAGGACTCCAACATTGATGTTTTATTAAAGAAACTGCTCGCATAAAACTTGGTTTTATGCAGCATACTAAGCGGGCTCTTAAGGGCCAATAACAGGCTTGGAAGCAAGTCACGTGATTCAGTAATTGGATGAATGCACACTCTTATGTGCTGCGCAAATCTAGAGCGTAGCGTGCGGTCTCTAATCGTAACTTCGTAATGCTCAAAAAAATTGATTCATATTAAATATCCCTTACGCCACAAATGGTTAATTAATAATCGCTCTGGTTAATTAATTAAACAGCCCATTAAACATCATAAGTAAAATCCCTCAGACTCCCCGGCCCCAAATTCTCGTGTATTTAAGAGGCACCGTTTGATGGGTTGCACTGCCTCAGTGACCTTCTACTCGTTCTCAGCCTGTCCTTCTATCTGTCCGAGTAATCACCAGCTATAGCACTATAGTGTGCACTTAGTCGGAGACCAATCGTTCTAAAAGGCCATCTCGTTAGCTTTTCGTGTTAAAAGCGATTTCTCGACGGTTATCACCTCTCTAGATGATTCTTAAAACATTTGGCCTTCACTGCATTTTTGTGCTAAATGCAATGAGGGCGTTTTCGTCCACACCCTTTTCTAAGGTTTTGCAGTCACTCGGATTTTTGTATTTCGGCCCAGGAAGGTCGTAGAAACTAATCCGATACACCAAAATGTGCCTAATGGCCATTTATATACAACTTATAAAGCAACATAATATACATTAAAATGCTTATTTTCAGAAATATGGCCGAAAAACGGTTTTTGGCTTGACGTAGACCGTAGTTCATAATTTCCGTGATTTTCGGCATTTCTACCTAGGACGGTCGTAGAAACTATTTGGATACACAAAATTGTATTTAATGGTCACATTTATATACAACTAATGAAGCAATATATACCTTCAAATGTTCATTTTCGAAGCCAAAGGGTCTTTTGCTAACATAAAATTGTTCGCAATTGCCGACTCGTGCACATTATATATATATATTCGAAACGCTCAGTTTAGGAGTGATTATAACATAGATAACTACCTACTGCATGATTTGTGAAAACAAAATTCAGCATCAAAAGTTTAATTCCTTCATACCATAAAACCATGATACCAAGAATACCGTCCGACCAGGATCAGATACCAATATCCAGTGAAATCAATTATTTTTTCTCCGAAGCAGGAGTCCAACTACTTCCGTTGACGTAGAAAAGCTTGACCATGTCTACTCTCATCTCGTCTGATATACCAGATTTTGACTTTTTTCGAGGAAAATTTCGAAAGGATACAAATTTGCGAATAAATGAGTTTTGAAACGATTTTTGAGATAACTAAAACTTAAGGTATATAACCAGAATTTTAAAACCGATTGCATCTAATTTTGCTCCTTCATAAAATTTTTAAATTTGGACACGAGTTTTGAAACACCAGCTGTACTACAAATATACAACAAATAGTTCGAGGAAGCGATTGCGATGTAACTGAGTCGATATATTTTAATGCTACCATGGGGTGGCCATTGTAACTATTCATTACAGCCCAGGAGTTTTACCGCCTCTCATTATGGCAAAGAATTGATACTCCATACGTTCTTTGAATGAAATATAATAAACAGACAGTCGATGCCTTTTACTTGCCTCACAGAGGGTCAATCGGTAACTGCAATTACAGTTACGAAAGCTGACAACTGACGTTATTAATTTTCCATCTCCAGGACCGAAGTTTATATCATATGTCTTAGAATGTTTTTTCGGTTTCGAGTAGAAACATCTTGCCGCAAATTCAATGTCGAAATTCAAAATTCGCGGAGCCTATGAGCGAAATAAAATGGTTTTTATCTGAACAGCTTACTTTTAAAAATTTTCTATTGTAGACTTTCAGAATAATCAAGGTTAACGAATAACTGCTGATTAATTAACTCTTGATATTTGGTTAACTATATCGTGCTGGAATGCTTCCAATGCGATACATAGTCTAGCGAGCCTGATTTTTTAGATGCAAGGTCTTAATCGGTCTTTGCAAGATGTACTCAGTTCTTGTAACCTACTGGAATTTGGGCCACTGAATCGAAAAAGAGCTGATATTAATATTAGGATGTCGGGAAATTCATTGGTTATTCTCTGGTTTTTCAATTGTAATACGAATCCAAGTTTGATTTAAGGGGGGGGGGGGGGGGGGGGGGGGGGGGCCGCCCATATTTTGTCCAAATTAGGCCCAATTTAGCCAAATACCCTTAAAATGCCCAAAACCCAGATTTTAGGTGCTCTACTTGTAGCTAGTGGTTCCCTGAACTCGTATATGAATTTTCATCAAGATTGGACAAAAAATGACTGAGTTATGAGCCAAAACCCATATGACCATATTTGGGCATACGCACCAACTTTGATCGATTTTGGCCCAGAAATTGGTCAAATATCAATATTTTTGAATGAAACCAACTTTATGTGGAAGGTAAGTCTATACTACACATTATCTATGATTATCAGCTCAGTATCTACCTAACTGTGGATTCTGTGTTCAAATAATCGCAAAAAATAAACAAAATTGCCCATATCTCAGTTCGCGATATTTGCAAAACTGACTTCGCTCAAAACAATAGAACTCAATAAGGTTTCAATATTTTTACATGAAATTTTCAGAATCAACGTAGAATCGCATTTCGACCTTAAGTTTTGGGACAGAATTTTGAGTTAGGCCTTTAAAAAAATTTGGCGGCCAAATTCTGAAATTTGCCGGGCATTTTTCAGGATTTGGCCGCTAAATATTGAAAACCGAAATTTTGAATTAAGTAAGACGAATACATGCTGTGGGCGGCAGTGGGCCTGGCCATTAGGCATTACCAGAGATTGAGAGAGATGTCCAATAAATTTTAATTAGATCATCTTCCAACTTTTTAGGTGTTTCTGGACACAAAGTAAGTCATCTTGCATCTTGGAACTTGCTCATGAGTCTTTAGGAACTTTCTAGTTACAAGTCCAACAGCCCATTGCATTTGTGAGTATATTTTTCATCGTTCGCTTCGTTTTTCAGCTATATTTCCGAAAATGAACATTTAAAGGTATATGTTGCTTCATTAGTTGTATATAAAGCATTAGGTACAATTTGGTGTATCCAAATAGTTTCTACGACCTTCCTAGGCAGAAATGCCGAAAATAAGTTGCATATAAATATGGCCATTAGGCACATTTTTGTGTATCGGAATAGTTTCTACA